CTTTTCACTTTGGCCACAGGCAACAAAGAAAATACTGTTTAAGGCTCTGAATATTAGGGACAACATGGGTTTTGCATGATTATTATACTCAATTCTTCATATTAAACAACTCACAGATCAGAACCCTTTAAGTGAGGTCCAAAGTAACAAGCTGAGTTGGAATCTGTTCAGCAAATGTGGCATTTAGTCTCTCTACTGGAGCCCCAGAAGCTTAATGACCTCTGTAAGCTGCAAGTTTTTATGATTGATGATTTTCCCAATCAGACTCCTTGGAAAAGGAAGAAAACCCTGGAATTAGAAGTCTTGGAATTTGGAGTTCTTTGTTTTCCTGATACAGCTACCAAATATACCTATTTTGAAAAGTAACTTTTTTTTTGGTCTTTTTGAGACAGGGTCTCCCTGTAGCCCCAGCTGTCCTGGAACTCACTATGTAGACCAGGCTGGCCTTGAACTCACAGAGATCTGCCTGCCTCTGCCTCTTGAGTGCTGGAATTAAAGGCATGGGTCACCATGCTTTTTAAATTTCTTTTTCTGCTATTGGACTCTTATCAAAACTGAACACATGGCCCAAAAAAGTCTTATGATTCTCTACCCTGATATTTCCATTTTAGGGTGGGTCAACTAAACCAATGACAAACAATGTGGGAAAAAACTATTGCATTATGAGACATCATTTTAGATCAAATGAATTTGGCCATTTTAATTACATTTGCTTTTACAAATAGAAACAGAAAATAGGTGCATTACAGGAATGATACTATAAATTTTGGGAGTCCAAGGCTGATAAGAACTCATGAAAATGGGAATTGACATTAAAGATTAGAGGTGAAAGTAGTAAATAGGATTTTCCCAGGATGAGCGAATGAGGAAGACAAAGTAATAATGAGGTCATGGTATATGTTATCGACAAAAACAAAACAAAACAAAAACCCAAGCTGTGCCACTGTAGATAACAAATTGTAAGTATAAGATTGCTAAACATAGTATTAATGGAACAAATATATTCTAATCAATTTTTTGAAACTCATCCATATTAAGGAATCTATTTAAATACATAATGAAGACAAACACAATGCAGAAATACCTAAATTAAAAATATTGAGAAACAATATGTGTTGTAAATTGCCTATAGGGGTTGGAGAGAAGGCTCAGTGGTTAAGATGACTGGTTGCTCTTCCAGAGGACCTTGGTTCAGTTCCTAATACCCACATGGTGGCTAACAACTGTTCTTAACTCCAGTACCAGGGAATCTGACATACCTCTTCTGGTCTCCACAGGCATTGCATGCCATGGGTGCACTTATATACATTCAGGTAAAAATATTCATACACATAAAGTAGAACTAAATAAATCAAAAAGATAAACTGCCTATAAAATGCAATTATTATCCAAGTTCTTTAAGATTTAAGCTGCTTCTCTTTTTTTTCCTAGGGCACACAGTTATGTTTTCTTTAGAATGCAAATCTTCATGGCTTATAACTATGTATCACTGAGATGGTAAGATCATTTAATGAGAGAATCCCAAGCCCCATAAATGACCTGTAATTCCTGAGCCATAGCCATTGTTTATAGAGGAGACACGATGTAAGCTGATAGAGCCTTCCTGGATACCCTGCATTGATGATTGAATAGGAACTAGGCATGTGGTTAGTTTCTCTTTTAAAAAAACTTTACATTCTGTATTGCATGTATTTGAGTTATATATGTTTGAATATACTTACCAATAGAAAAAGAATTGCTGAACAAGCAAAGTGTATAGCCATCAGTCTCCAAAGTTGTGTGTTTCTGTGCCCATGTCTATGGTACGAGCACACAGAATCCATTGTCTTAGCAAATTTTCAATATACCCGGTGTTTAATTGATTTGTCAACTCTTTTTTTATCCTACATTGCCCACAGTTTGTACTCTTTGACCCCTGACTTCCCATTTTCAACACCTCTTCATCCTTGTAACCACTGCTCTACAATATTTCTCTTTCTTTGGATTATGTTGCATTTAATAGATACATGAGATAATGCTGTACTTTTCTTTCACTTAACATAATTTCTTTCAGGTTCATCAGTGTTGCATATGGCAGTATCTGCTTATTTTTAAAGGCTTAATAGTACTTGTGTGCATACATATATCATAAATTCTTCATTAATGGTACATGTGTTTATACTGAGGTTGTGTTTGTGACTAATGCAGCAATGAACATGAAGGAGCAGCTATCTTTTTGGGGCACTAATTTAGTTTACCTTTTAAACAAATATTAGTGTGATGTTAATAAAAATATAAGCAAAAGTCTCTGGACAATACTATAAAATACATAAAACTACTATCAATCATCTTAGTTACAACTTTGCCGACATATGGTGGTTACTTCAGTAAGAGCAAAAGATCTCCAGAATTTTCCACATAATTTTAGTATCCTCCTTTTTAAAAAAGTCCCTACTGAAAGGAGGACACTGAGGTCCAGAGGTAAAGTGACTAGGATGAGGTCAGACTGCAGGGAGCCACACAGGAAAGGCACAGAAATCCACCATTCTTCTGCTTTAATTTACTTTTGATGCATGCCTTATTAATGATAGTTTGACTCTTAAATGTCCTCCAAAGGCCCATATGCTAAAATCATGCTGACTAGCCTGTGGTGCTATTGCGAGTTGGTGGGATTAAGAGATGAGGCCTAATGAGAGGGCGTTAAATCATTATGGTGGGCCTTTTACAGGGGATATCGTTCCTGCCTCTCTCTTTCTCATCCTCTTTGCTACCCAGATGCAATAAGATGAGCAGTTTTGTTTTACCACTTGACATTTTGCTGGAATGGAATGCATTGATCATAGGCTGAGACCTCTGAAATTGTTAGTGAAAGTAAACGTTTCCTCTTCTAAGTTGATATATTCATGTATTTTGTCACAGTATCAGTATCTGGCCCTATCCCAGAAATTGGATGGCTGAGCTATGTGCAACATTTCAGATTTTCTGCATGCTTTCTTCTATAATGACTGTAGCAATTCACATTCCCACCTAAGGGTGTTCTTTTTTTTTTTTCTCCACACCACCAGCAAATGTATCTCTGGAATCTGGTTATGGTCATCCTAATACATGTGAAATGGTAGGTTATTGTGTTACCATTTCCTTTTGATTGATGATGTTGAGCACTGTCTCTGCACATTTGTGCTGGTATACAAAATCCACCAGACTGACCAATTTGTAAACAACAGGGATTTATTTCTTATAGTTCTGGGGGCTGAGACAGCAAAAATCAAGGTTCTGGCATGTGCAGTGTCTAGTGACGACTATTTTCTGCTTCCAAGATGATTTGTATTACTACATCCTCCTGAGTGGATAAATGTAGTGTCCTCGGCATGGAAGACTGGTAAAACAGCCAAAGTTGGGTGAAGTCTTTTGTATGATGCCCTTAAATTCCATTTAAAAAGGAGGAGATCTTTGGATATAATTATCTCCTAAAGGCCCCATCCCTTAAAATCCTTTAAAAATTTTTTTATTGAATTTCTGTGTATTCCATACAGAACATCTTAATCATCTTTAAACTCATTTCCCCATTGCCCCCCTCCTCTAGCCCCCACCCCACTGGAATTCATACAATCTGTCATTTGTGTTAAGGTTTATCATGCCAAGTCAGTGTCCCCAGATGTCCCTCAGTGCAAGTTCATTCACTGAGGTTTGGTCAGCCTATCTAGGCTCTCTCTCTCTAAGAAGATCAACTCTCTATACCCAGCAGTAATCAGCTGCCAATAATTCTTTGACTAAGATTGGGACCTGCTCTTCATTTCCACAGTTCTGTGCTGTGTTTTGTCTGCTTGGGTTTGCATGGATCTTGTGCATGCTGACACCATTGCTGTAGGTTAGTATGAGAAGAGTCCAAGGAGCCTTGTAGGACTCTTATTTCCATATGGTCATGCACCTCCTCCCTGATTCTTACAATCTTTCTGCCCCCTCTTTCAAAATGGCCCCTGAGCCCTGGATGGGTGTATTTTAATATAGGTCTAACATCCAAAATATATAAAGAACTCAAAAAACAAAGAATCAAGAAAACAAATGATCCAATTAAAAAATGGGCTAAAGATCTAAAAGAAAGTTCTCAAAAGAAGAAATAAAGATGGCTAAGAAACATCTTAAAAAGCATTCAACATCATTAGTAATTAGGGAAATGCAAATTAAAACCACCTTAAGATTTCATCTTACCTAAGTCAGACTGGCTAAGCTCAAGAGAACAAATGAACAAAAAGAGAAGCCTTTGAGAGGGAACTAACACTGATTGTAGCCACTCCAACAGCTATCAAAGTGCCTAAAAACAAATCTGAGCCCATCACTCTCAAGTCCAGCCTTGGCAGACAAAAGAAAAATGAGGAGGAACGCAATAGAGGGGAGGGATGCTTTTGGAAGCTCTCATCAAGAAATCCCAATGGACTCTGATATGAACACTGGAAATTTGCCCTGTTCTGACTTTTTTCTGGTTTCCCGTCTAGAACTTGTAATGCTAACTACTCTTGCCTTTACTTCTCATTCACATCCCCTATTCACTAGTCAAGGACTTTCTTTTCTCCCTACAGATAAGAGTTATGCAATTTGGGAGCCTTTTAGATATACCCACTGAAGGGGTAACCCAATTGCCTCACCTTGCGACCCTGTTCAGCATAGAAGAATTCAGAGTGGTCTGCGGCCCAATTCCCTATCAGCAATTTGGGTAACCTCTTCAGAGGATGGTGTGATA